CCTACTCCGGGTGGTCGACAATCGGCATTGGCCGGCGGATGGAATTCGGTGGAGGCCTAATCTGTGGGATCTGATAGGTCTTAGGGAGGTAATTGGCAGCAGCAAGAAAAGGAGTTAGAATATCCCAAAACAAGGATGGGAGTGCCTGATGATGAGAGCGACTCTTTCTCTGTGAGGAGGCATGCATACTCAATAATATGTTTTCTACACTGTGAAATCTCAGCTTGATATATTCTCTTCCTTCAAAACAGAAAGGTTGCAACATTTGCCCCAAACCAAGCAGGTTCAACCTCCCATTAAAGTAGCATGAGACACGTCACAGAGCCCTTCGCTTAAATTCAGAGTGTAAGGTTGAATGTTTACTTAATATTTGGACAAGACTAACAGATGTAGAAATAGTCGTTGCCCACAAAGTCTCACCTGTCAAGCAGATATTTAGCCAGCTGGGAATGGAGAGAAAAACCCAGTTTCTCTTTGAGCTGACACCACTGCTCCAGGTGGCTTCCGATACAGATTCGGCTCCTGCTGCGTTGGGCATCCAGCTCTTTACGTTTCTGCTTGCAAATAATCTTGGAGGCCCGCTGGCGGCCCTGGCATCCATGCTCCATCATCTCACTGAACTGGACAGATGGGCAGAGTAGGAATCTGCATAGAATAGCCACTGGATCATACGTACATTACATGCCCACAAAGAGAGATTTGTCTCCAGCCATAGTTGAAGAGTCCAGGGGCTCTGGCCAGCATGGACAGTTCTGCCTTCTGTTTCAGGGGTTGTAGATATTCCAACTGTGACTTCAACATCAGAAGACCTTAGATGATACCACTGCTTAGAAAAAGGTGACCAATGGGCAACCTAAGCCGAGGAAGAGGACAAGATGTTATCCCATGTTCCTGGCCACACATAAACATCAAGATCTCTGTTCCATATTGTAGATCCCAATTTTGGAATTTTGTCACTGGAATAATTCTGATTTAAGAGCACCTCTTGCTCATGGAAGAGAACTATTTATAGTATCACATAAAAAAAAAGCATGTTCCTATTTGGGTGCACATGTAAAATTCATTTGGAGCAAGCAAAATGGAAATCTTTGGAGTTATGTGCTAGGCAGATATGGCAGCAAAACTGAATATTTTTTTCAAATTCACCAGTATCACTTCCATACATTTATCTGACCCCACTTTTTTTTGCAAGGTTGACGGATCTTCAAGAAGTGCCTAATGGTAATCCTCAGCAGCCTCTTTTTTTAATTAAGAGTGAGCTAAAACAAAAGACAAGAAGGTTGAAAAGGATGTTCCAGAGCATAGTGGAAAAGCCTCAAAATCTTTATCTAATAGTCTTAAGATAAGCTACACTAGATATTTTCAATAAAGAGAGAGGTGAGGTTTTTTTAGCTATGAAGGACCACGTTCTACTGAATCCATAATTCTTTTATTTGTCTACCGTCAGAGTTCTATTTAACGCGGAAACGAGATCGACGCAGTTAAACCTGCGATCCTAATCGGGAGACAAGATTTTAACTCGCACCAAAGAGCTACTAACACAAGGAATGAATACCAATTCCGCCTTCTTCCTTATCAAATCTCGGCGGTCATTCCGGTCTTCTCCTCTCGCCTTCCAAGGGGAATTTGCAGCGCAAGCGGGTCGCTTGGATCACGAAGCGCGCGCGGAAGTAGCGGGAGGGAAGAAAAATAAAAAGAGGGGAAAGGCGGCGGTTCTTACGACGGCAAAGCCGGAGGCGCACGAGCAGCTTTGGCTTTCCACTTAGTTCCACGCGTTTCCATGAATTGACACGCGGAAAACCAAGTTGCCAGGCGAGCTTCCCTCTCTCTCTCTTTGGGGTTAGTTTCAAAATGCCTGGCTGGGCGCGCGTGGCTCCTTCGCCGCCGAGCGAGACGGAGGAGTGACCCGGGATTCCGCTTCTGGGCCACCTGGAGGATGTCCGTCCAGTCGTCCAGTTCCTTGAAGGATCAGGTTGCAAATCCCGGATAGACTGGGAAAGCCGGTGCACCGCTGAAGCGGAGACAGTTGCCGCCCGGCTTGCAAACAGCAACGGCAACAGGAAGGGGCTGGATCAGCTCTCTCGGTCAGGGCTGTGCGTGGCCTGCAACGGCGGGCGAATAGGAAGAAGCGGCAGAAAGGGAGGGGAAAAAAGGCGGCCCTCTGTAAATGAACCTGCGGGTGTGTTTAGTTTTACATTAATTTATTCCCCTTGGAGAAATTCAGTCGCCGAAGTACTTTTCTACGGGTCTGATAACAGCTTTCAACCGCTAGCCCGACCAGAGTGAGAACTTCCGCATTCTAAGTATAGGGCAGGGGTCCGCAACCTTAAATACTCAAGAAAGCCATTTGGACCGGTTTCCCACAGAAAAGAAAACACAGGGAGCCTGACTGTTTCCTGAGCGGCCACAAAACTAGCATATGTAGTTGAATTAAAGATTCTGTTTTCTTCTGAAACTTTTCTTGGATTTAGCCATGATTGGACTACAGGATGGTGGTGGTGTCAAAAAGCTTAATAAATTGCGCATCGGTGGGTGTCGAACATTGGCAGTTGTGATACATATTTTGAGTGACAGGGAGCCTCAGCAGAGGGGTGAAAGAGCCACGGGTTGCTGACCCTGGTATAGGGTCTCCTGACTTGAGCAGCAGGGTGGACTAGATGACCTCCAAGATCCCTTCCAAATCTATTATTTTGTTAGATTAGGTTCGGATTGTTTCAGAACTCCAGCTATGCCTGTCAGCCACTCGCTGGGAGCTACCATTTAGAAAGGAGGAAAGAGATAGGAAACTTGACAAAGACCATGTCCTTTGGTGTAAACTGTAATATCCTTTCAGATGGAAAAGGCCATGATCATTAGGACTTTCTTGGTAGTCTCTTGATGGGAAAAAAGAAGAAGAAAAGGACTGATCCTTCAAATAATATTTCTGTAATTTTTTAAAAATCAGGCTAATGTTGATATCTTCAAATATACAGTCACTGAGTCCATTTTTGAAATCAAGATTTTGGTCTTTTTTTTTTTTAATGTAACCATCAGTATCCACCAAGCTCTGCTTTCAGTATTTAAATGATTGTATGAAAGCCTCATGTTTCAAAGAGTTAGTTCAATGTTCACAGCCTTTCATACCTGGTGGCGTGTATGAAAAGTGGCAGTTTAGGGGAAAACATTTCCTCATAGTCCTCAACTTACAACCACAACCAGCACCAGAACTTCCATTGCTAAGCAAGGCAGTTGTTAAGTGAGTCATGCCTGATTTTAGCACTTAGCACTTAGACTTATATACCACTTCATAGTGCTTTGCAGCCCTCTCTAAACGTTTTAGAGTCAGCCTATTGCCCCCAACAATCTGGGTCCTCGTTTTACCGACCTTGGAAGGATGGAAGGCTCAGCCGACTTTGGGAGGGTCAGGATCAAATTGCTGGCAGTGGGCAGAATTAGCCTGCAATACTGCATTCTAGCCACTGTGCCACCACAGTACCACCTCTTTTGCCATGGTTGTTAAGTGATTCGCTGCTCTTAAGTGAATCATACAGTTATTGACTCCTGCTTCACCCATTGACTTTGCTTGTCAGAAGCTGGCTAGGAAGCAAATAGTGATCACATGACACAGAATGCTGCAACCTTCTTGAATACATGCTGGTTGCCACATGCCTGGATTTTTATCACATGACCATGGGGATGCTGTGATGGTTGTAAGTGTGAGAACCAGTCAGAAGTCACAGGTGCTGTTGTAACTTTGAATTGTCACTAAATGAAAGGTTGTAACTTCAGGACTATGTGCATCCTTTAAGTATTCTCTTGTCATCATCCTGCAAAATGTTATTAGCAACAAAACAATTCTCGTATCTAGGCTTAGAAGACTGGAGGTGCTCAGCCACACAATAGAGCTGGTATGTACAAACATTCAGCTTGACTAGATGCTTTTCACTGTGTGGTGAAAATACCGTTTAGAAGGGCAGGGTTTTTTCCCCTATATAATGTGAACATTTTAATTACTTTCTTTCCATGGTGTTCGTTTTAAGAATTTTGACTTATGATTATAATGAAGCCTGGATATCTGACCCAATTTTACAATCTCTCCCCCCCCCACCACCAATTGTTAAGCAAACCAATGATTTGCTGTGGGTGCAGTTTTGCTGAAGACCAGAAGTAAGTGCCAACTGTCAACAAAACCATTGTAAAACACAATTATGTGGCCATGAATGCTGCAAATGGCTGTAAATGCAGCCATGTTGCTTAGTGCCCAAAGTTTGGTCACATGACAGGAGTGGGGGGGGAGGACCATTGGAACCTCAAATCCAAGTTTTAACTAGCCCCAAGGTAGGAATTTTGAATGGTCACCAAGTAATTGTCAAGGACTATTGAAACGGATCCAGTGCTAGATGGCCAGATTCCTGCAATCCAAATCTTTCTCCAATTTTTCTGCCTTGTGTTTCTTTTTAGTTGTATAAATTGAGATGAGTAGTTTTGTGTTCTGTCTGGCCATGGAGCAATGCCTTTTCAAGACCCAAAATTGAGATGGATGATAAGCAAGATGTGGAAAGATTATGATTTTTGCTGCTCTTTGTGATTTTTGGAAGTGTGAAAATTCCTCTGTCATAATAATACTAATTGTTGATAAGACAGACAAAAAAGTCTGAATAATGGATGTGGCAGTACCTGGACACAGCAGAATGGAAGAGAAAGAACTATTGGAGATAACAAAATACAAAGACTTATATCTATAGAATTAGAAAGGCGGTGGCAAAAGAAAATAAAGGAAGTATCAATAGTAATACACTCCTTGGGTGCAATCCCAAAACAACTGGAACACCACTTGGACACCACCAGTTTTGACAAGTTCACCATCAGCCAATTGCAAAAAGCAGCTTTATTTGGGACAGCTTACATCCTGTGACGATACCTTTAATCAAATATTCACATTTGTCTATCCCAGGTCCTTGGGAAGGACTCAATAGGTGGACAAAAATTCCAAATGCAGTCCGAGTATCTGGCTGACCATGTGACAAACAAAAATTTATTAAGCAAGTATGCTGCATGACTCAATGATTTTACAGTGAAATAAAGTACAATAAAATAAAAAAGTAAAGATAAAAAAAATGGCAAGCATGATGAAATAAGGGGTCTCACTCTCCCAGATCAAAGACTGGAATGAAAAGGCATTAAACTATGTTGCTTCTCAGTAAAATAAAGCATGTTTTATTCTATTTTTAAGTATTAATCTGCAATTTGGATTTCTATTTTGGTTCTGAAGTAGAATGAAATTTGCAGTAACGTTGAAAGAAGATTGTAGGACAGTGATGGCTAACATTTTTGGTGCTGAGTGCCCAAAGCGCATGTGTGCAACCCCAAAATGCAATGCGAGCATCCCTCCACGCATGCCCCCTGCCCCCTATATGCGCATGTATTTCCCACGCATGCGCCCCGTGCCTCATTTTGGCTTCCAGGTTGGTGCAGGCGGCCTTCCAGGCCCAAAACAGGGCACGGGGTGGGGGCGTGCACATGTGCGCAAGCCCCAAAATGCAATGCGAGTGTCCCTGCACATGCACCCTGCCCCCGCGCATGTGCGACAGAGGCCTAAAAATCAGCTGGGCGGCACGTGCGCATATGTGCTATAGCTGGCCTGGGGCAATGGCTGGCACATGCGCCATAGGTTCACCATCACAGTTATATGGCAAGACGATAGTTCAGTGATCAAACATGTTCTGCTTGCAAGTCATTCTCAGTTCAAGTAGAAAATACAACCCTCCTAGAAACTTAATATTTGTATTTTACTACTTAAGTGCCCTTTTAAAAAATGAACATTGTACCATAATTTGGTTATTTATTCTTATGGGAGAGCTTTGGAAACTAAACATCAACACTTCTTTATGATCTGTGGAAATTGATGCACAGTGATTCACATTTGTCATGGTCCTGCTTGAAGTTTCATCTTGTTCCTGCCCACAGCCAATGAGCATCTAAGGTGTCACAATGTCTTCTGTTGGCCCCTGCCAAAGAGAAAGCTCAGGAAGTACATTATGAGGTGCCGGGACCTGATTGGATATCCTTCCTACATCAGAACTTGCAACTCTTAGTACACCAGCAGACTATCAGTGGGATGAAGAGCACTGGAGCTCCAGACACTAAATGAAACCAACGCTCAAAGCCACAGTGGCTTTCTCCGGTGGAAAAAACTGAAATAACTTGGAAACTTTGGGGCAATGGCTGCTGCTCACAGACCAAGACGCAGGACTCGGGCTCCAAGGAAAAAGAAACAGACCAGAGGCAGGAAGGGAACACACCGGAAGCTGTTGCCAAAGTGCAGAAAGCAACGTAGAAAACAAGGCAAGCAGGGAACAATGGTGGTGAGAAAGCTAGGTGGGCCTCAAAAGCCAGGTCCGAAGCGACCTTATGATGAGTTTATTTCTAAAGTCCTGCGTCGGCTGCATCGGGACAAAATACCCATCTCAACCAAAGCAAAGGGAAAGATGATCTCCTTCATAAGGAAGTTCTACAACAATGTGTCTGAGAAGGCCCAGTGTAACAAGAAAGTCAAGCAGAGCTGTACCATCGGCTCCAAGGAATTACAAAATGCATTAAAGAAAGTGATGCGCAAAAAGCAGGCCATGGATTTGGTCCAAACTATACGCAAAGAGCCACGACGCTATTAGAACTGCTCCTTCCTATTTCCTTTGGTTGGCCCTTGGTGACATCTACAAACAAGA